AATGTACATTTAGGGCCGGTTACTCAATGTCTGGTTAACACTAATCTTCGGTAAAACATTGTTATCGACGTTATCGACTCCATGTTCTATGCATGGAGCCGAACACGTCGATAATGATGTTTAAACGGAGATTAGTGTTAACCAGACATTGAGTAACCGGCCCTTAGAGTAGCAATGTCTGATTAACACTAATCGGAGGTAGAAGCTCTGGTTAGGTACAACGACTGCTTTATCGATCACATATTATATGTATGATGTCTAAAACGTCGATAATGATGTTTAACCGGCAGGTTGTGATAACCAGACATTTAACAACCGGCCCTTAGAGCTAAATGTGCTAAATGTGTTTTACGCGTAAGCAAAAACAGCATATAAAATCGCCGCGTGCGATCGCCTTTATAGGACATTCGCACGAGGCGATTTTACAGGCAACAAAAGTTAAATGCGAAGTTGAATGAGAAGTTGAAAGGGAAAAAGTTGCCATCCCTATTCAGACGAGGCGATTTTTGATTCAACACGAATTGTTATTTACATTATTGAAAAAGATTTTCAACCGCCAAATTTTATCAATTGGCGTAAATTTGGTAAGCCAAGCGTTGGTAGAAGTGCCACCGTATACCAGTAGAAAAGGTTTTTGTTGTTGTGGCTGTTATTTTGGTCCCCATAAAGGACTGTTTTGCCGCATTCAGCGTGCTGTGCAGCAAAATAATGTGGTGAAAAATTTTAACATCGGATAAATGGCAGAGAAATATTGTTATGCGCTTTATAAGTAAACATGAACGTAATAAAATGTTTTATACTTCAATACAACTAATTAGCGCTATTTTTGCAATTCGAAATGATCTTAAAAATATTTGTAGTGAAATATTTTTACGATTATCCTAGAAGCCAAATATCTTAAAGCTCGTATCGCTGGATTGTTAAATAGATGCTAACGATGACCAAATTGTAGTACAATTAACTTTATTGTACAACAAACAATTTACAATACTTGCTAATACAGTAGAAACACTTTACAACACTTGTTAAAGCAATAACAACGCTTTTCTAAACTTGTTTACACAATTAAACTTATAGCTTGCTTATTCGCAACTCACTTCTCTGCTCACTTTACTTGTAGCTTGCTGACTTGTATCTCGTAACTAACTCAACTCCGCTGTGTCGTGGCTCTTATATACCTGCGCTCGCACTTATGGCAACTCTAGAACGTTCTGAAGTTTATCGCTCATTCTCTTTCTCTCGCTGTTCGCAGTGTTCATCCACCTTGACGTTTCTCTTTGTGGAACATTCTACGTCATTCCTCGAACATTCTGCCTATTTCTCGTAGTTGGCTTCGCGTTGCCGCAGTATTCGCCACAATATGTACTTTATGAGTTAAATGGAAACTATCTTTTATGTAAAAATATTTTCCGATTTACTCCAAATAAATGATGTAAAATGTTTTATATATGGATCTAATTTTGATAACAATATTTATTACTTTCATCTACATTGCTTTTATTGTAACTTTTCATGTGTAGTTGCAGTTTTCTGCAATTGTCTCTGGCCGACTATACATGCTAAAGCTAAATAATTTCACAATTTTTACCCTATTAAACGTTTATATTTTAATAAAATGTGATCAATTACTTAAGAATATATAATTTCCTATTAAACTATAGTACTGAATGCTTGAGAAACATTTATTTAAATCAAATGATCAATAGAGAACGGACTCGGAGCGAATTTTGGAACACAATATAAAATATGCATGTTAAGACTAAATAATTACTCATAAGCTTATGTTTTAATATAATATAAATAATTACTAAAGAATATATTAACTCCGATCAAACTATAGTATTAATTGTTTGACAAACAATTTAAATTAAATGATCAACAGACTGCGCGCTCGGAGCGAATTTTGGAACACTTCATAAAATATTTAGGGCCGGTTGTTCAATGTCTAATTAGCACTAATCGGCGGTAGAAGCAACGATTAATTAAACGACTGCTTTATCGATCACATGTTATATGTATGATGTCGAAAACGTCGATAATGATGTTTAACCGGTAAGTAGTGATAACCAGACATTGAACAACCGGCCCTTACAGAGGAAGTACATTATTTGGTAGAGATCAAAATGTATTTAACAAAGTGTGATTGAATTTGACATTGCTCTCAGAAGAACCATCCTATAAAGTCAAATTGAAAAAAAATTTGTATGAATTTTGAATCGTTTGTTTATATTTTTTTACATATATCTTAAAAGAGAGCCGCAATGTCTGATTAGCACAAATCGGAGGTAAAAGTTCCGGTTAAATACAACGACTGCTTTATCGATCACATGTTATATGCGTGATGTCGAAAACGTCGATAATGATGTTTAACCGGCAAGTAGTGATAACCAGACATTGAACAACCGGCCCTAAGGGCCGTTTACTCAATATGTGGTTAACACTAATCTCCGTTTAAACATCATTATCGACGTGTTCGGCTCCAGGCATATAACATGGAGTCGGTAACGTCGATAACGATGTTTTACCGGAGATTAGTGTTAACCAGGCATTGAGTAACCGGCCAAAATGTTGGCTGGCAACCAACTTTGTTGAAAGCGGTTAGTTGAAAGGCCATGCAACCAAAAGTAGAATGCGAAGTTGAACAATGCAAACGCCTTTTTATGGCGAATATTTTGATGTGTTGATATTTTTAGAAATTCAATTTTTTTTCGTGCAACCCTACGCGAGTTGAACGCAAAATCGCCTGGTGCGAACGGCCTTTTTGTGCAAATAAGCATATAGATTCTGTTTTTGTTAAAGCAAGTAGTATACATTTTATTATAACTATGGATTTAATTATAAAGTTTTTTAGGGCCGGTTGTTCAATGTCTGGCTGGCAAAAATCGGAGGTAGAAGCTCCGGTTAGATACAACGACTGCTTTATCGATAACATGTTATATGCATGATGTCGAAATCGTCGATAATGATGTTTAACTGGCAAGTAGTGGTAACCAGACATTGAACATGCATACAACAGGGAGTCAGTAACGTCGATAACTATGTTTAACCGGGGATCAGTGTTAACCAGACATTGTTCAATGTCTGGTTATCACTACTTGCCGGTTAAACATCATTATCGACGATTTCGACAACATGCATATAACATGTTATCGATAAAGCAGTCGTTGTATCTAACCGGAGCTTCTACCTCCGATTTGTGCTAATCAGACATTGAACAATCGGCCCTTAACCTTTTAGGGCCGATTGTTCAATGCCTTGTTATCACTACCACTACTTTATCGACGATTTCAACATCATGCATGTAACATGGGATCGATAAAGCAGTCGTTGTACTTAACCGGAGCTTCTACATCCGATTAGTGCTAATCAGACATTGAACACCCGGCCCTTATTTGAAAAACAAAAAGCAATTAGACAATTAGGCAAAAAGCACCGGGCCTAAAAAATAACAGCTGTGTTTGCTTTTGATACTTTTTCTGCTTGGCACCTGATACTATTTTTTCAAGCTCGTGGCAACGCTGTTCAGTCGACGGGTATGTTTTGCTAAATTATTCTGAAGCCGTTTTTGTGTTTTTAATGGGATGCATCAACAGTACAAAGAAATTAAACGATTTAAAAGGAGAAAACGTATTCCGTGCCGTACGACTTCACTCCGATTTGACAGAGCAAGGGCGCACAGGGTTTCTGGAGCTAACTCCAAGAGAATTGATTTTCCGTACAGTATCTAACCAGCGCCTTGTATGGGCTTTGCAACATCTACGCCGATATGGACTCAATGGCGATGTATTTTCGTTTGAGGCGGGCCGACGTTGTATGACCGGCCCTGGAATTTATACATTTCGGTGTCAACGTGCAGACCAATTATACCATCTGTTCCAAAGTAACATAAATGCTGTGTCCCTTGTGGCGGACGAAGCTTTTCCTTTTGGTGAACGTGAGCGCGAATACCCATCACATATATTAGGACGTCCAGAAAATATACATCCAACAAATAATTATCTAGAACCAGCACCGGTAGTAAGCAGCGGAGCAGGACTGTCCGTTTTACATGGCTCTAGAGCAATTCGTGACTCTTTTAGTAGTAGTCCTTTAAGTCTTGACTCTCCAGATTCCGCACCAAGTTTGTCATTCGCTACAACTGAAGTTGTGCACTTTCAAAGTTCACGTTATCCTGCTGGGCGCGGTATGTATGTCAACACACCAAATTCATCCAACGTACTCGCTAACAGCAATGTGTATTCGGAACATCCATTGCGAACGCAAGTGGAACATAATAATAATTTGTCAAATGCTCCCAGCTGTGTACTTAATACACTAAACCGCAAAAATTTTGTTAAACACTCGTCTCTGGACATACCACCAGAAGAATTTGCGCCTATGTTAACGCCACCATCGGAAACACTGCATATGTATGCCAACATTGACAGTAGTGCACTTGCTGCTAACAGTTTTTGTTTTAGCGGCATTGGAGATATCCGCAATATTGGACGCAATCACGATCGATGCTACGAAAATCTAAATCGTGATGATTTAAATTTTATTATCTCACAACAGAGTTTGTCGTCTAGCATAACAGTTCGAGATGTTAACGCGACGGATGTATCCAAGGATCAGCAGTTTATTCCGATGTTGCCAACAGAATCAAGGGCAGTCAATTATATTGTTCTTGATTTGGACCACCCTCGCAGTCCGACGCAAAGTTCTCCTAAACTACATAAAGGAAGTGGTCCGTCTTTGACAACAGTTGAGGACATTGAAGGCACGAAGGGAGCATGCTCTAAAATAACATTCTTCCCAGATACATTACATGCCAATGTTACTTCTGCGACAAATGCTACCACCTCAACAACATCGAGTACAAACACAACGAAGACCGCAAAAAGTAATGAAGGTGCTGAACAAATGGAAAAAAAAGAAGAATCGTCACTAGGCTACTCAACGATAGATTTTATAAAGACATGTGCACTTATTAAATCGTCTACACATGGTGCAGATTTCGATCCAGAACCTGGCAGCGAAGAATGCCGAATAACTCGACATAGTAAATGCGTGCGAAAAGCTTACTCTATTAGTGAGTAGGAAGTCGTACGCCTTACCATGTAAGTAAACACGTATGCTAATAAGAATAGCATTCAGAATACAAATAGGAAAATACTTGAAACCACAGTCAAAACTAAATTTTTTTTTCTTTCTAGACTCTTCACGTGTGTTGAACGCTTTTCCTGAATTTAGAATAAGGTGAGCCTGACTGGTATTATGTGACTTTTTATAAGTATGAAATTAGCAAAAAAATTTAGAGCAGATAACTAGTATTCCTATCATAAATAACCGTAAGCCTCGGTTTTGTACGCTGAAATTAACAAAAAAAACCTAGTTTATATTATGCTAGTAGCATGCCAGTCCAGTGAGCCAGTTGAGCGCTGGACTGGAATGACTACAGTCAACATTATTCCTAGCAGTGAAATAAATTAAGCCACAAATAGGGCAGCTGTTCCGAATAGTATCTGTTAGTTCGAGGCTGCTAGAAAGAATAAAGGGGGCGGGGACACGCCCACCTTTCCAGTTTGAAAGAGCAGATACCAAAGAATTCAGTGGCATGCCATCCTCGAACTAGCAGATACCCTCTGGAACCGAACCCAAAAATACCACCAATTTCGACGCTCATATAAAAATTAAGGAGTACCCTTAATTTTTTCATGATCCAATCATCGGAACTAAAAAAATTAGAATGGGACCACCCTTAAGGTGTCACCTTTCCGATAAAAAAAAAATTAATGAAAAAATCAATAAAAACTGTTTTAGACAGACTTTATTGTTAGAGTTACAAGAAGTCGTGGATGAGGTTCATAACGAATTAATATAAGAAAATCTAATCACGTAATATTGCTACAATTGTTTCTTCCTTTTTAGTAATTCTACTTTTATAAAATTTTATTTTGAAATTTAATAATATGTACTCTGGTGGCAGAAATAAGAGACTCGCCTAATTTTGACCTGTGTTGGCTATATTTCCTTGGTTTATTTAATGTTTAATATTTTTTATAAAAATCTAGCTAGTTATACAACAAACACCAAATAAAACCACATTTCAAACTTTATAAAATTTAAAAAAAAAATTACCGAAATTTCAAACTTTTTATTCAGAATTTTTAGGAAACTTTTTGGTATAGCCCATTTAAGTATACTAAAGCAGGGCACTGTGAAATTGGTCCCCAATTCGTGCCCATAAATCCAAAAATAAAGTATCGATTTTGGGGTTTTATTTTTTCGCTAAAATGATGTTTCAACTATCGAAATATGTCCAATACAGGTACCGACCGTCTCTGCATCTGTTTGTATGTTCAGTGGTGAATTGTTAGTTGACGTAGCGCTCTGAAAAGTAAAAATGTAATGCCAAAGTTTAAAAGCGCCAAAACCATAGGGGCGATCGATTTTAATTTTGTAAAATGGGTTTTCTTCTACAGGTTAGTTGTATATAATGTATAATCAAAATTTATATTTAATATGTTCAACTGATTAGTATTTAATGAAATATTCAAGTGAATTTTTGAATAAAAACAGTTTAAGTAAGAGTCATGCCATTTTCCCCATGTTTCACCAATAAAGAATTAGTGTCTATTTCATGATAATTATATTTTAAACTGTAACTCTAAATTTTGAATCCGATCATGTCCGACCTTTTGTTTAAGACGCGATTTTGTACCATATAATATTGAAAGTTTTTCTGAAAATGATTTTTGAAAACTAATTTTTTTCGACCAAATTCAAGATACACGTAAACATGATTGTATTATAATTAAATATCATTTTTATTTAAGAATTTTGAATACAAACTTAAAAAACCTAACATAACTCAATGTTACGTAATTTAATAAATATTTTTCTGATTAAACACTATTCTTTTAATTTCAGGCGCCATATTGGATCGGCCATTTTGGTGTTAGTTATTTTGCTTTCGCAATAAAATTTAGCGACCTCTATAACTCTTAAATAATATAAATATAAGCTATTCTTATTATTTTTTTAACAAAATTATTGTGTTTAAGAGTTCAGGCGCCAAATTGGATCGACCATTTTTGTTTTTGTTATTTTGGCTTTAGATTCGAATTCAGCGATCTCAAAAACCCCTGTAGACCTTAATTCATGTCAATATGTTAATTTTTTAAATGGGTATCAAATATCCATATAATATAGTATGTAATACTTCTATATTGGCAGTATCTACAAGTGCAGCCAGCAAACATTACAGTACAGATGTATAAAAAAAAGAAAAGGAAAACCGAGTAATAGTATGTAAAAACTGACACTTGAATTCAAAACAAATCGCAGTGGCGGCACGTTAAAAGAAAATTACAGGGAATTTTTAGTTTACATTTAACTTAATGAATTTTATAATACATTAAATTATGGAAATGTCACACTGACGCTTTTTATGTGAAAAATAAGAGATTAATTAAATAAAATAGCTTTACATGCGTATTTTGGTACGCAGATAATTTGCAGAAATTTCAACTAAAAAGCTGGCAATTCTAATAAAACTGTTAATTTTTTTTAATTTTTTTCACAAAGTTTGGAATTTGGATTACATACAGTATCGGTCATATCTATAGCCCGCCATTTCAAAGTGATATTGTGTGCCACTTATGTTTATTTATTTATTTTTAAGAATTTTCAAATAAAATACAGTTCATTCTCAGACAAACCCCATATAAACCCAAGTGTAACAATTTGTAGAAAACTACAAAAAAGTGCAACAAATTTTCACCTAAATTTCAAACTTTTTTCTCGGAAGTATAAGAATTTTTTTGAGTACACAGTTTTTTAGCCCCTTCAATTTTAGTCTGATAATGTGCAAGTTTCAAGTGGCTAAAAGTTACCGTTGATTTTTTTAAATTTTTTTCGCCAAAGGTGTTGCGGATTTCTTCCGTATACAAATAAATTGAGTTTATTCATTATATGGAAGACAATGCGACAAAAAAAATTCGAAATTTTGGCACAATATACTCTAAACTCTTGTTTTTAAGTTCCAAAAAGAAAAATTGGTCTTTCCAATTTTGACAGTCGCTATCGATTTTTTTGTCGCCTTTAAGCGTTGAGTAAATAGCTATTTTAATTTAATACAGCGTTTTTGCTGCATTTAAAATGCAATATTTAGCACTTTCGAACATATGTTTTCGAAGAGCGTTCATGCTACCGCATTTAGCAAATGTACATTTACGCAAGTTCGAAATCGTATGCTTTTGACAAACAGCCGTGTTCCAGTCGCTTGTTCAGATCCGTATCTATTACGATAAACTCTCACGGAAATGATAATGTGCAAAAACCCCTACTGTAAAGGAAAAAATAAATTCTAAACCGAAAATTCAATACAAAAACTTGAATTGTTTTAACCATAACCGAACATTTGTTTGTGTATATATTCATTTGTCGGTGTTGATCACAAATTAGTCTAGATTTCTATCAGCATCATATCGATGTTGAATTTGCGTAACTTTTCTTTATCCAAATAATGTAAAATAATAAATGAAATCTCGATCGGCGATCACTGAAACGCAGCTAGCGACTGTATACTCGAAAAAGCAATGTTGCCA